TGCAATTGTCACTGAGGACGCCGACGACCGGCGTGACAATGACGCCGGTGACGGGGCCGACGAGCTGGACGAGCTGCACTGCGGTCGACGGCAACAGAATTTGAAGCAGCGGACCCAGGGCTGCCCACTGCGCAGCCCACGCCATGTTCATGGCCATGCATGGCGCACACATGAGAAACATAAACGGCACGGAGCAGCCTTCGACGACATCGGTGGGTGCGTCGGCCTTTCCGTCGTCGTCTTGGATCTTGAGGATGGTCGAGTCCCTCGGCGACCGCGCCGCAACAAATGTCGTTGTTGGCACCGTCATGGCAAATGCAGTTGTGAGAGCACATCGGAGGCGCCTTGCGGTATCGAAACCATAGTCTCGAGTAGCTTGGCACAGGCGTCAAAAGGTGTACATGGAGAGGTGGATGGCGATGCAAGACACTCCACTGCACGTGGGATGTTGCTGATGGTCCAGCGGTGTGTCCACATGTAAAGACCCGCGATGTGTTGAAGACGTTGGCTGGAACCGCGTGATGATCCCACTCTTCTTGAAAATGGTATCTTTGCAATGCATCAGCCGACCACGGTGGCACTGAGCGTGTCAGCTGCCACGTCAGAAAGGTTGTTTGGGATCGTGTTGTGGGACGATACTCGTTGAGCTCAGTATTAGCTCTCGGAGATTTGTTTGAGTACGAGACAAGCTTATCTATCGCTGCCACTGCCATAGAGGTAGGGCTAGGCGCATTGCGCTTTTGCCTGCTGTGCCACAAGGTCTAGTCTCGAGCGACCTCGACGGCAGCGTGTCGAATCAATGCAGTGTCTATGCCGAGCCGTAGCTACTCGACCTACTATAAATAGGCAGTCGGAGCTTGCTACCGATACCACATCGTCGTTCAATGCCATCAAGCCACTCTGGACCATCTTCGCACTGCACGAATTCGCATCCAGTATCTCAAGCCCATTGATGACGGATGTTGACGACCATTCACAGGTCGGTTGCAGTTTGCATTGAACACCGATGTGCCGAATCATTGGTTCTGCGACTCAGAACTCGGACGGCTTTATTTGACGCTCGGATGCCCGATTAAGATCTTAGCACCGTGGACCGCTGATGTAGACCAAGGGTCAATAAACGGGGTATTGCCCCTTGTGTTGACGAATGCGAGTATCCGGCTATAAAGCCGTGGGTTATGACTGGGCTCATGTAGCCATAAAGGCATGATTTGCGCTTTTGACGTGTTTTATAGATGTTGGATCCATATGACCGAGCAATCGATTAAAAAATTACACGTGTTGAAGCATACGCTGCTGTTCGTGGAGCTGCATGTACTCGACGAGGCCTTCGAGCTTGGCGTCGATGAATTTGATCCGGTCTTCGAGTCGCCGGCGGTACGCCATTTCGTCCATTGACGGCGTCGCAGCATCTTCGGTCGCGTCGGCACTCGCGGTGGTGTGCACGCTAGCAAACTGTTTTAGTGTGCGAACCCAGCGGGCACCTTGCGCGTCCGAGATGCCAATTGCTTGCGCAATCTCTGCCGCCGTCCAAACGCGGGTGCCGTTATCAATCGCCAGGCGCTCTTGGAGCCGCAGGCCGTGGCGGCCCTTGCAGACGCAGTCGGTATGCAGTATGTCGCGCAGCACCCATAGCATCTCTTGCAGAAACGATCGTTTACTATCCGTGAAAAGTGTCAACTTGTGCATCGATAATAACCAAACGCTCGAAGAATGTCGTACCCGTGGTCGACGTGGACAATATCTTCGTGGGCCGAAATGATGACCGCGAGCATAATGTTGACAAGTACGAGCGTAATGATCGACTGACTGAGCCAGTACCACACGACGGCAAGCGGATGGATGTCCTTGATGTGGTCGTACTCGTAGCCGTTGAAGATCATGTTGATGCACGTGACCATGGCTGCGCCGAGACTCGCGAAAGCCTCCAGCTTCGGACCAAAGAGGAGGGCCCCAGACGTGGCGAGGGCCACAACGACGAGAAGAAAGAGAAACAAAAACGTGCCCAGCCGCCGGACGCTGGCCATGATCGTGGTGCTGAGGATGCTCATCGTCGGGTGAAAGTGCAGCGCCGACATGACACTACGCACACAAAATCCATGAGTGCCATGCCGTCGGTCCTCTTGCATGTACTTGACAGCGAGCTGGAGACACGTGAGGATGGACATCATGTACAAAAAGCTAAGGGCTGGTGCGAATCCGTTCATAAAATCCGACACGGACGGCTGTGGACTCGACGCCATGGCCTCCGATTGGTCCGCGACCGGCAGCGCGTACACGCTGTCATAAAACGTGCGCAGCGCGGCGACTTGGTCTTCAAAGTCGGACGCAAAGCAACGCTGAAAGAGGCGCACCCATGCGATATAGTAGACGACGAGCGAGGCCACCGAGAGCCACTCGATGACGTCAACACCCGTCACCCACGCCGTCCGAGCTTTCATGCGCGACGCCAGCTGAACGAATCGGCGCACAACCAGCCGGATCGCAAGCAAGGCAACGAGGACGTCGGGGAGAAGGTTGATGTGGGACTCGGCGTACGGGTTGGCCGGCACCGAGTTGACGCTGTATTTGGGCTCGATGGCGCCGCCGGCTTGAAATTCGAGCGCGAACCGAAGATACGTAAACATATCGAGCTCGCCGTTGTAGGTGGTGATCTTGATATCGATTTGACGCGTGCCGAGGTTGATGTAGTAGCCGCCGATGCTGCCATGCTCTTGCCATACTCGGTACTTGGTGTACGGCGATGGCTCTTGCAGTGGCAGGTACAGCGTGTACCACGGCTGCCGCCGCGTGTTGCGCGTGTGGAGGTCGCCGTCCGTGATGTCGAAATCCGACTCGAAATCGTAGCAGCCGCCATAGTGCGACGCGAGCCGACCATCGCTCGGGCACTTGGCCTTGGGGGCGTTGAGCACTGAGACTTCGACGGCGCCAACGACTTGGTTGTACGAGCCAATGCGTCCGATGGTTGCGTTTTCCAAGGCCGAATCTAGGTTTCGATCACATCAAGTTGAACCAAAAAGCATTTCGTGTCATACTGTTGGCGCCTTTGGCGGGAAAGATCTCGGGCAACATGGTGAACTCAAACCAGCTCTCAAAGTCGGCTGCAGTCCGAATGTTCATAAATTCGAGGGTACCGGGGCGGTGGACCGTGTCCTATACAAGGTGTACATCGCGTGAACAGAATGTCGGAAAATAATGTACCGCTGGAAGCGGACTGAGTGCGATCGAGATGCCGTGGTTGACAAAAAAGACTTGGTAAATCGGCGTGTGCGTGAGGACGACCGACACAAATGCAAAGAAGAGCACAATCGGAAAAGGCACATTGAGGAAATGCGTGCGAAGCTCGGCGCGTGTTGTGAGTGCCGCCCGCGCGTCCGTTGTTGAGATGGTCTCGGTGCGGTCGCCTTCCGAGAGACGTGGAATCGACTCGATGTCAGGCGACCAGTTGTCGAACGGCGACGGCAGCGTCTGCTCGTCCGACGGGTGCTTCATGGTGTCTCGTTGGCGGTGCGTGTTGTACAATGTGGCCTCTTCATGGCGTGCCCGACTGATAGGGGGACATGCGGGACCGGACTGTGGCCAGTGGTGCTCATGTTACCGATCGACCACGCAATGACCTTCATGGGACTGCCGAGCTCGACTCGTGGGCAGATTATTCTTGGCTGACCCAACCATATGTGGGATGTCCTTTCTCGCACTTGGGGTAGTGCCGTCGTTCGTAGTGTACTTCCAGGTGCTGTCATGAAGTTGATTGTTGCCGAACAGACGCGGTGAGTAGACCGTAGGCTAGATAGTCATTTCGCATTTAGCCTTGTCGCCTCGAGCCCACCACACCGCGCCAAATGGCTAGCGGTCAATCGAATCATCTATGGCCCCACTCGAGCATAACACCACTTGAAATATGAGGTAGAGTGTTAGGGCGAGTCGGAATGGTTCAGCAGGCAGCGTATTTAAAGCCAGACTCGG